AATCCTATCGCTTTCTGAGGGGAGCGTTTTTATTCACGGAGGAGGAGAGCAATTTTACTCCTTGGTGATGGAGCAAATTCGCCCCTTTCCCAGAGAGAAAGGGGGGTGAAACTAGAGTTAGCTATTTTGCTTTCTTTTTTGAGAAAAATCGCTCCCCTTTTTCTAAGAGTGTACAGTATAGTCTCTTTCCGGGAAGCATAGCCTCCAGGGAAGGGGAGTCAGTCTTTCATTTCAGTCTTTTCTAGCGATGAGGAACGTACGAGGACCCAGACATCTCAGGGCACCATCGTGAGCATGATATAGGTCAGGGTGTCAAACATACGGCGCGCGGGCTGGATCCGGCCTGAGGAGGTGGTTCATCCGGCCCACCGTCTGTTCTTGAAATTTCCGCTTGGATTTTTCAGGGAAAAACTATGGGCGTGGCCCGTAGGCATCTGCAGGGTAAGGAATACGGCCCGCCGACCGATTTGAGTTTGACACCCCTGATATAAGGAATCCGTCATTGACGAACCTTTTTTATTCTTTAATCGGATTATTCGAGGTTTGATCATTCTGGTGCTTTTTGGTTTCATTAAAAAACTTGCTTTTTTTGTCTCTTTAACCTAGAGCCCGCTTATAACATGACTTCTCCCATAATGGGCTTCAAATCCGGAATATATTCTTGCTCTTAGGCAGCATCCGTTTCGTCTTCCCAGTTGAGGAGATTTCATTCCTGAATGCGAGTATATTATTCCTGGAGATGTTTGAAGAAAGACATCTGCTTGCAGCAGATTCGTCTGCGAAGAGATGCGATGCTCATCCAGAAGGATTTTTTTTCGGATGAACGACAAAATGAAGGACGAGATGAGTGTCATTCGTATCTGACACAGGCTCTGAAAGGGTCAGGGCAAGATAGGTCAGGTATCACACAACAGTCACCTCAAACAATTGGACAATTTTGAAGATTGAGAATTATGATTTTACTTGGTAGGGTGATCCCATCGTGACTAACATTACAATCGGACGCGGAGTACATATATATCTACTCAATTTTCTCGTCCAGTTTTCATCCCTCTATGTAAATATTTTTCGTTCGTGGAGACTCCATCTCGTACTTGCTATTCAGCGCTTCAGCACACATAATCAATGCAAATTTCTGCTAGTGGAGTTGCATGAAGCATGTATGACTTACATAACTATAAAAGGACAAGCCAATTCCCACATCTAATGTTCCTCATGAATACTTTTAATCTGGGTTTCTTCATGCAACCCAATTTGCCATGTACCTTCTCCAAGTTATGAAGGTCACATGCACAACATGTCTGAAGATGAAAAAGGCAACGTTGAGTCAATCTTGTCGCTGTGACTAACATAACCGTGACAAACACAACTTCGCTCTTTTTAATTGCTGCATTGCTTTCCCTTTAGAATGTTTGGTCTTAAATGGAGATTTCTCCTTCAATGTTCGAATACCTCGAAATACCTATCCATGGACATACCTATCTCTGGAGAATTATTCGAGCACCCACTCAGATTTATTAAGGTATACTTACCAGGAACGTGTTGCATACGTCATTCTTTTTCCTCTCATTCTTCTCGTCCCGTTGTTAGATGTTTCCCTGTGCCTTACAATAAAGGCTCTATCCTTCCGCTTTCGAAACGCAATGCCTTCATGCCTTCCTCAGCAGCAGTTCGATCTATCTCAGCGTCCGAAAGAAATTCAGCTAAGTAATTTAGGGGTCGTACACCTAACAGGTTTTGCGATGACATCGTATCTGTCTTTTGATGTAATATCGCGTGAAAAGTAAGAGCGTATACTCGCCAACCTTGAAGTGCTATGCACGTGCCACGTTAGAAAAATGCTTAATTAGGTTACTCAATGTAAATTTCAGCTTTTTAGAGGAAAAAATTTGCTGATTCCCCTGTGTATGTCTTACCGTCTCCAAAAACATGAGAGAAATTCTAAGGCTCACGCAACATCAATGGGACTGGGTGATTAAAGTGCTTCAAGAGGGTGTAACGCAACAGAAAGTTACGCCCTCTTTGACCCTCTGAGGACGAACTGACAGGGCGTTTTACTTTGAGGGATGTAGTGATTCTGAAAGTCGTGTTTCGCTAGTTATGATGAAGCGATGATTAAATCAGATATAGCCCAAACGAGGACATCTGAATCACCACGGAAATTCCTGCTGCATTACACCCTTAATTTGGAGGAATCATTTCAGTTACCAGTTGCTCTGTAACTTCGTTTTCGCGTAAGCCTTGGTACATTTCTCATGTTTTTTTCAGAGACGGTATGACATGCATAGTGTAATCAATTCGTATTTTATCAAGGGAATCTGAAATTTACAAATGGCATGAAGAAAATCAATATGGATAAAATAAATAAATAGACCTACTTCTGACGTGGCATGTGCACAGCGCTCAAAGGTTGGCTGGTACACGCTAATAATTTTCAGGCAGTGATTTACTTTTCAGCGAAAGACTAGTATTGTATAATGCCATAACAACTGCTACTATGCAGGCGAGCCCTATGTACACGTAACGATAAAATTTGGCCGCAAATAAAGATTCTTTTATTCTTGGCTTCTCGGTGCTCTTCTTTCTCCTTCCCTCCAGCTGCTTTCTTCACTACGATTTACATTGACTTACAGGGACATATTCGAGATACTTTTCCACAATAACTTTTAACCTGATGATGGGCGTGCATAGAACTAGAGAGGTTTATTGACTGATTATGTTAGTCACACTATCATGTTATGTTAGTCACGGCCATTCCGAGCATACACATCGTTCCATCAAGAAAGCGAAATATCCATGAGAAGGAGTAGGACGTGGGGTAAGAGAAAATGTTGAATACGTGGATATATCCCCAATAGTGGTTGCATAAATGGAATGTTATTCATTTTGTGTGACTGACAACATTATTCTCCCTTAGGCGTGGTCTATTCCAATGAATGAGAGAAAGGAGCACGAGACTATGCCTAATTATATCTGAAGATGATTTAGATCATGATTACATCATTTTACATCAAGTACTTCGGCTGTAATACGCGAAAAATGGCCCCTGTAAAGGCAAAAATTTGATGAAAATAAACAGATCTAGGGGGTGACACTTCAGACCATCGGCATTTTCAGTGGAGTGGCTATTTTAACACCCTGGTCGTTTAATTATATCTCGCTGATATCTATCTTTTATTGTATGAACGTAGCATGTAATATTTACGTAGTTTTTTTGGCCTCAGGGGTGACCTAAGCGTCGAATTAGTCGGTACAAAAGTGAATTCCCGAGTCCCAATTTTATCATCAGGCTCTTTGTGAGAGGACGGAAAATGAAATTAAAAGAAATAAAATAACATATTATGATTCAGAGGGATATTCGCAAAAACTGGTGCTCGAGTGCGGTCTCGCTTCACTGGATCCTTAGGTTATCTTCAAATTTTCTCACGCCTGAGAGGCACGTTTTCGTTCATATCTTCCCCTCGTGAGTCTCCCTGAAAATACCGATATAGCATCAAGGACACCGGAGGTGAACGATATCAGATCCCCATTCCATCGCCTGGAAACATTTTCCCCAATAAAAACAAGATCGACCCCCCCGTGGAACCAGAAAACCTGCAATCGACATCGGAAGTGGAAGAAAACCGCACCATCATGAAATCCGTTCTGTTTGCACTCCTGCTGAGCCTAGGAGGTAGCTGGGCTCAGAGGCAGATTGCTTACATCTACGATCTGCCCAACCAAAACCACTTAGGAGCCTGGAGCGGTAGGACGGAAAGTTGTTCGGATTTCAGGTACTGCGACACCTACATCAAGGATAATGTCGTCTCTAGCACTCGCGTCACCGGCATGTGAGTTATTTTCTATTTTTTGTTTGATTTGTTATCCCCATATTATTGCAATGACGTTTCCACTCGCGCCACGTCCTCTTTCTTCCTCGAAGAGGAAGGAGAACCTTCCTCTTCGGATGAAGTTCTACGTGGATTGCGAGCGACAGATTCTGCCGCTGTAAGATTGTGAAGGTGCTGCGTGCATTAGACTTCTACATATGGGTTGGTCCAGAATCTACTCGTCATAGGTCGATCCGGTATGAACAGATCGATTGCCTTTTGCTCGATGCGAATATGAATTCATCTTCTACTAGATGCCAGCACTTCCCACCACACAACCGACGTGCATAGAAAATGTCTAGGGATCGTGAGGGTCACTCAGCCGTTCCACGTCGCCCTTTGTGAGCTGAACTATTAGCTTTGTGAGCTGAGCTATTAATTGAAGGCTAAGTTTTCGTCAAGGTGGCAACAAGAATTCGAAACGAAGTCGGGTTTGGGCGTTCCTCCCTGTCTCGGATTTGTCTATCTCTTTGCAGGAAAATGTTTTCCTGGGAACATCTCAATCTGCTACCCTGATAGCAGATTGAGCTATCAACAATGAACACCCTGCCGGGTGTTCTTGTTTTCTCTTTTTATCGATGGAGACATCGAAGGCACTTAAATGGGCTGCACCGAATGAATCGGCACGTTCGCCTGGGTCACAAAATTTGTTCAGACGAGTCCGTTGAGGGAGAAATCAGATCAAGTCACGTCACAAGCTTAAGCGGTCGAAACGTGGGTCGCAACCACGCATTTGCAAACAAAAATGCACGTTCAAGTCAGCACGACGCGTGAAAGTGGGTCCAGTGATTCGCAGGCGCTAAACAACATCGATAAAGAGCAAAATCGTGATGCTACTTGCGTAAATCCCCTTAATTCTTTCATTAGTACTGTGCCGGAATTAAAAAGCCAGACCGCACCTTCACCAACTATTCACACTTTTCGTATCGTTCCCATGCGCAGTACTACATGTGCAATTCCTGCATAACAATACGCACATCATATGAGGGACAACACTTTGAATTTCCAAAAGAGAGAAGGAATTTCTCTGCTCTAAGCTGGATTCCCCATCGAAGGACACAATTGAACTAATTACCTCGTATCCCGTTAATTTCGCTATGTACGGAATCTACTGATTCGTCGGTTGGGTTCATGACCGTGAAAGATATGCAATGAATCGGATTGGCCCGGAATCCATTTTGGGATCATTAGGACATCCAGAAAATTTAAAAGTTGAGTTTGCAAGACTGGATCGCAGGTTCAATCATCGGATCAGCTTCTCTCCTGCTTGTCGAGTTTCACGGGTAATGGAATCGATGAAAGCAGTATAGCAGCCTTTTCATCTTTTTGGCTGTTGAAGGACACTTGAAACTTAACTCCGCGAAAGCTCAAGCAGATAATCTCATTTTTTTCCTGGGATTTTCGGCCAATATCTGAAAATTTACATCTTGAACTGGAATGATTTCTGCTCGAGATCCGAAATGAAACACAGATTCACGGTTTCGGTCATCCTTTCTCGATGCTCTCTCGCTTCTAGTTGGATATTCTACAGTGAATACTTCTACAACAACCAGAACGAAGGAAGAGTAGAATGGGTCTATGGAGATGGCTACATGCATAACTTGAAAATCGTCAACAACCAAGTCTCGTCTCTCAGGTGAGTCGAAGTGATTCCCTGTATGGTTTTACCCCTATGGAAGTCTCGTGAATGTAAATGTTCTGCAGGTTTGTCGGAAACCAAAACAACTGGAAAGCGGATTCGATCACGCTTTTCCAGTTCGATATTTTCCTCGGGCTCGGATACTACGATTGGACGGACAACACCCAAGTGCCAAGCGGGATGTCCGCGGTGGGGTCCCTCATCATCACGGGCCAAAATTATTGGACCGTCTACACGTACGTCTCCGCCTTCTGCTGGATTCGAGTTTTTTTCTCCCCTAACTGAATATTTTTCGGTGCGTCGTTTAGGTCCACGAACTTCAGCGGGAACCGAGCCTGCATCCGGGTCCAGCCGGGACAGTACGTGGGATTCGCTCAGAATCTGGACGATTACGGCATTTTTACGGTCAGGTCCTACCGGCGAGGGTGCTACGTCGACAAGAAGATCACTCTCAACTCAGATCAACACGGCTTCGCTGTCACGGCCCAGGAATAAGTCGGCCACTCGCCTATCACAACATAAATAAAGTTGTGGAGCCTTGCATTATGGCCTTCATTTCTTCAAGCTTCTGTTAGTATCGCAGGAATCCACCGAATTTTTTCATTTTCCCGTAGTCTCATGATGCCCCTGACAAAATATATCGTTTTAAAATGGAAACAATGAAAAGTGGCTCATATCGCCGTCCCTAAGGCAGAATTTCGGTTGTTTGAATCTCTTGTAATGTACATCATAAAATTATGTTTGAATTTTGAGTTTCCTGATGATAAAAGCATCTACTCATACATTAAAAAAAAAACCTTTCCAACATAAAATACAACCTTTAGTATAAACAAATCTGAGTGGAGAGGGAGGAAAACAATTAAAGTCACGAACGATTTTAATGAAATGAATTTAATGAATGCCTGAAAATAGGTAAATAACATAACCTGATCATTGCAGGAAGTGCGTTTTCACTGGTAAAATTATGGGAGGGAAACAAGTGAAAACCACAAAGAGTGGAACAAAAAAGGGAAGGATGAAACTGATTCGAGGAGAGAAAATATGCAGTCATTGATAGGAATTTAAGGCTAGTTTCAGCCATTAATGAGGTGTTGAAAATTCCTGGAATGCCAAATTTCGGCCTTCCATATGTGCCGGTTTTACACCACGCCTCGAACTCCTTAAAAGCCGACAGTTGGTTGTGCAAAATATGTTATCATTGATGGATGGTTCCGGGATCGTGGAAATTTAACTTGGGCAACACGTCGGCAAAAGGGGAAGTCCTTTCGGGTTTTCCAGCAAGATTTCCGCTGCCTCCGGAAAGACTGAATCGGCCTCGATTAAGTATTGACATGAAGGGATGAGCCATTTCGCAAACTTCCCAGGGGTCTGGAGGTGAAAGCCTCAACTTTCACCACCGCGTGCATCGTTCGGAGGACAGTCAGCCACCACAGGATATGCAAAGGCGAGTCCACCGGTCCATAGACCCTGGTTACGTTCTGCTTTCCTGGCTACGTTCTGTTTTTAGGGCGACCGGTTAACCATGGTTATAGCGTGGTATGTATTTCAGGAGCATGAGACCATCATATTCGATACCGTTTTCCCGAAGACGAAAAAGGACAATCGTTTAGTAAAAACCCGCACGCATCACTCATCACACCAATAGAATACGGATTGATAAGGCTGATGCAAGTGATGCCACGCTCTCAGGAAAATCGCTAGAGGTTGCAGACCTCTCCATGAATTAGAACTTCCCAGACACGCAAGAACAGTAATTTCATCGACAGGAAGACGAAACGCTTTAGTCGAGGTACTCCAAGATTCAAGTTTCCTTTGTGGGATGTTATTCACTAAGTTCTTATTTAATTATCTATCTCAATGAGACATCGATCATGATTCCTTTCCAGATGCATCTGCTGAGGAAGTAGAAGAAGCATCCTTGAAATTAACTCTTTACAATTATCAAGAAGTAATTGAAGTTAGTTGGCAATCCCGGTGGCCCCTAGTCGGCCTTGGCCAGGAATTCCCAGACCAAAAGATCCAAACTTGAAGTGCTACAACGAACCTCCATCGACTCTTGTGAGAAACGTGGGACAGTGGCAGAGTATTTGAATTCAAACGAACTGATCGAGGACTCGACCACGGACAAAAATGCTCGGGCATTCACTAAATAAATAAGGAAAGAGGCAGTCGGCACTTTGGAAAGGCGACATGCGGCATCCCGAGCATCAACTGGAAGTCCCTACACTCTTAGAAAATTCCGAGCGTTTGGGGAGTAAAATAGTGTCCGTGAACTTCATGTAATCATATATTTCAATTAATTGAGGAAATAAGGGTCTGATATCCCGGATACTCCACGGAACCTATAAGAGGTGATCCACCGTCTGACCTGTGCTGCAATCTGTACTGTCAGAGGTAGGTCATCGCCTGTATGAGAGCGAGAGCGACACACGTTATATATGAGAATTTTCGTATATGCATGACATCTCTATCACCTTTTGATGGGAGCGTTTTTACTCACGGAGGAGGAGAGCAATTTTACTCCTTTGTTATGCAGTAAATTCGCTCCTTTCCCAGAGTGAAAGGGGAGTGAAACTGGAGTCAGCGGTTTTACTCCCTTTTTTGAAAAAAATCGCTCCACTTTTTCTATGAGTGTACTTGCCTCCTGCCGATACATCATACAGATACTGTATTATGCATGGGTAGGGTTCGTGTCAGTACAGGCTTTGTCCTCTTGATGGGATCGTCTGGGTAAAGAGATAAAAGTATTATGGTGCGATATGATGAAGGAAATATTTCAATGTTGGCAGAATATCAGTCCAGTTCATGGCCAGTGAAGCCTATTTTTCCGGGCAATAATGTCGATATTGGTCCGGATCGGGTGCCAGTGAAGCAACGTTTTCCGTCAACATTGCAGCAACATGAATCCTGAAACGTTACTGCAACGTTTATATTTAAAAAATATAATGAATAAGTAACGACTTGCAACGTCAATGCAATGTTCTTTCGCAACATTTGAGCAACGTTGACTTTTGGACATTTGCACATTATCCATTAACATTTCCTAAACGTTGCTGGAATATATTGCGCTACTTGGGATATGTACCCACGAAAGGAGAGCTGCGAATAATAAAGGCTCGGGCCTGGAGCGGCATCAGGCGTTTCTCAGTACTCGGACATCATTTTTCTTCCTTTCCGCTTCTCAGAGGAGTTTTCGATGCCAATCTTTCATGTGGAAGCGTGAAAATGGAAGAGTGTCAAGAGAGTTCGGTCAAAATCTACCCTTACCTTCACAATGACATAGAAACGTATCGTTTCAAGAAAATCGGTTGACTGTCCATTGAAAGCGATGATGCGAGAGGGTCTTTAACCACCCGTTAGTTTCCCATTGCTGCGGCCGTGAAAATGTTCCGCAGTTTTTCCTCTTGATTGGAATTTCCCGGCATTTCACGAAAAAGGGAATAATGAATTAATATAATATGTCAGAAAATTGATTAACTCTCTCCTTATAACCTGTCTGAAATTCGCCTCGAAATCCATATTGGTCAATTCTACTCTTAGAAATTCATGCTAATAAAGAATAAAAAGAGAAGCTTTGTGACACATCAACTTTAATTTCACGAGTGAATCAGACGATCGATACATCGATGTATTGATACAATGTTCGTGATACATTGTTCGTAACGCGTTGTTCCATTGATTCTTTAATCGAACTGCACTAAGATCACCATGTAGGTCACGAGGGCATGCAGGACCTGGAAGAGTTGGGAAGGAAGAGGTTGTTCTTCCTGTAACCAGACCGTAATAAGAGAAAATAGTCGGGAAATTGCTGGGGTCTACCGGTATGAGTATGGATCTGTCGAGGGAATAGAGGCCAGCCATGTTGAACTCCAGGGGCCACTTCTTAACGAAATCGGAGAATTCTCGCATCTGTTCCGACTCTCCAGGGGAATTCTGAGTCGCCTCCCTCACCCGCTCCGCCTAATAAAGGACAAAATAATTCGGTACGTGTTAGAGAATCAGTCCTATTTACGCTGTGCTACATTCTGAGAATAAGTAGGATGGAAAGACCTGATGAAGGACGGCATGTGCAGACAAAGCCACGACGAGGATGCAAGTGAAGTGAAATGAAGCAGAAAAACTACAAGACAGCAAATTTATTGTCATTTGATCCGCAGCTTGATGCTTCACTATCGAGATGTAGTTGAAAACTTCAGTAAAGGCGAGGAGGAAAGATAGTAGCAGGGTGAAAGTGATTGGCCACGCAAACCAATCTAAAAGTGCCATCAGTGCCCTCCGGATGCTCATCCATCTCTGCCTAAGCAGATATGACGAAAAAATTGCCAGGTAAGCTATAGGGGTAGTCATAACTTCTCAACGTTGAATATTCATGTACCATATAACTAACTGCAGCTCCATAAACGTTTGCATAATGTTTGGCAAGCTCATAGATAGTATTCTAGGTGATCATTCTTTGATTCTTGGCAAGGAATTTAATTAAAATATATATAGACCTGAATGCACCAGCTGGTGAAGAGTTTGTGAGGATGTCATCGGCGAGAGCAGCTAGGCAGGATCTTATTGGCAGGCAGAGTATGAAGAAAAGGAATACGATGAGGAGAATGCCAGGGATTTTCAATCCGATTAGAATCACATGGATCCATACGTGGGATGGATTGGAAAATATACCAAGATACCCAAGATAAAATGCAATAATGAGAAAGGGGAAGACCAAGATGGCAGCCTCTCCACCAATTACAGGGATTTTCTCTTCTCGAGTCAAGGTCTCCAAAATTCGGACAACCTTGACCAAGCCTCTACTCTTGATTAACACGAAGAGCACCGAGGATATCACGGACACCTTCAGCGTGAGAACTTGCATCCTGATAATAACGCTCTGAAAGTCGCTCGCTTTGGAGTTCAGGTAATTCATTTCAGCGGGTCGGACGATATCTTGGAGGGAAAGCCAGGATCTGCCGAAAAGCCAGACGAGAGCATAGAGAACGTGAATGCTGAAATACCGGAATTCCAACTGGCGGGAATCCATGGAGAACAGGCCGTTGAGAGGCAGACATCCACAGAGGGCGAGGAAGATGAAACAGGCTCGGATTCCTTTGGAGAACATTGTGACTGTATCTACTTTACAAGACTCTCTGACTAGGGAAAAGGGAGCATCCGCGTCGAGTGCGCCAGGTGCAGTCGATTCTGTCATCACGTCAGTAGGTGTACCGATCAGCTTGGCCTCGCACTCTATTTCATTAAAAGTTCATTGATTTGAAAAAAGTCATGTCAAATGGAATATTTACAGTCAGTCAGTAGTTTGTAATAATATCATATGAATGACGCTTAAGGAATACTTCCTAGGCATGAGTTCAAAATATGTTTAATAGTTGGAACTCTAGGTGAGGCATGCTCTAATGAAACAGGTGAGAAGATTACAACTTTTTTTCTTTAGTCGATTTGGGTGTGCCTATCTGCTTTTCATCATTTTCTCTGTCTCGTCATGCGGGGAATTTCTTTCACGAATGGATTCCATCTCTTACATAGCTATGTTCTCACTTCTT